AAGGGAAAGCTAAAGTCTACGTTACTAGCGATTTCGAATAACCCTAATCCCTAGGAACTATCGAAGTAAGCCGAGGTCCCTTATATAAAAGTGCTGCTATATCCGTTATATAAGAGAATTAGTAGCAGATTAATATTCCTTTCTATAGATTAGAATAATATTGTCTACGTAGAAGAAGACGATTAGTTCCTTACTTTTAAAGACGTAATCGTCTTTAGTTAGTTACTTTAGGTCGTACTTACCTAAAATGGAAAAGAACTATTTGTCCTATAGCTTAGGGGAGCGACGTAGGCTATATAACGCCCTACGCAGGCGTTATATGCCGTGCGAGGGTGGTCGTGATAGCTTTAAAAGAGGCTCGAGGTTACTTTTAGATATACCTTTTCCTGCTTAAAGCAGCGGCTAGCCGGGTAGATTCTTAACGTAAATCTCTTCGTTAAGGATAGTATTAGTAAAGGCGTTAACGGTATTAAGCTAACGTGTCTCTAGGTTAAAATAGGTAGTAATAGCTATTAACGGCCTAAAGGTCCTTCCTGCGAGGGTAGAGGCGTAGGCGTGAAGGTGGTTTTCTAGGCTATTAATCGCCTCGTATATATAACCTCGTCTTAAACTTACTAACGTACCCCGACGGGTTAACCTTATACTTAAAGACCTATTTAAGGTCTAAGGCACGTTACCCACCCTAGGGTAGCTCTGCTACTTTAAAGGTATCTATCAACCTAAGTGTATCTACCTCTTATACGGCTGCCCTAAGCTATTACAGCTTATAAGGGCTCTTTAGTATCTAAGCCTAATTTAGTGGTGCCTCAGGTATCTCGCGGCGTAAGAGCGGCTTTTTCGGCTTCTCGAAGGTATAGTGGGAGACGTAATCGTCGTATCTAGAAGGAGTTCGGCGATTACGAGTAGGCTGCCTTATAGCGGTAGGCGTTAAAGCTAAAGTAGGCGAATAGGAGGTTAGCCGTGAAGCAGGAATAGTAGTAGTAGCAGTGGTATTAGACGTAGCTACTTATAGACTGGATTAAGGAGTAGTGGCAGTGGCCTCTTTAAGAACGGATTAGTCAGGTAATAATAATTTTATTCCGATAGTATCGTCGGTGGCCTCGCCTATAGTAGAGGAAGAACCTAAGGAATAACCGCTGGTATCTTTAGATTCCTCTTAATCGCTGTGTTTAATTAGAGAATCGTTAGGAGGTGGCGAAAAGGGCGTATAAGCAGGCCTTGAAGAAGAAGAGGTTGTTAAAGAGGGCAAAATTAATGCCGTTATTAAAGAGGGTGGTAAAATAGCAGTTAAAGAGGAAGAACCAACGGCAGGCATAACGGCAGGCACGGTGCCTGCCGTAGCCGTGGCAGCCGTTCCACGTAATACCTCTTAGTCAGCAACCTATTAGTTTTCAGAGGCGTTTTCGGTCGTTTTGATCCTTTAACACTACCGCCGGCCACCCCCCTAGATCTTAACGATTAAGGCTATTATTAACGCCTCCTTCCCTCTTTTAATGTCTCTATCGTGGAGTTCTGCTATATTACCACAGGTATACCGAAATTAACGATATCGGTTATAACACTAAAAGGATCGTGAATCCGACCTTAATCTAATAGTAGATTAAGCTCTTTATATAGCTCTAAAGGCATATTAGACTCCTCCCCCTGTTTTTATAAAGGACTAACTTATCGAAAACGACGTCCCTTATACGCAGGATTCTCTATAATTTTAGCACCTAAATCCGAAAAATATTAGCGCCCTCGTAACCGATTAAATAACCGACATATGCCCTTAGCACGAGCTTTTCTTTCTTATGCCTTCCTCGTAGGTAGTTAGCAGTTAACGCATACGCCTTAGAACTATACCTCTTTAGGTAGCTAATAAAGAGATTAGTGTTTATAAAGCTAGCAATACCTTCCTTTTATAGCCAGGCGTTTAACGCTCCCTCGGGGGTTTTCTAACCTAGGTCCCTACGCGGAATCCGGTTATACAGGTATATAGCGACTATAATAATCTCTAGCTATAAATCCTACTAAAAGCCTAATACCTTTACTGGTACTCTCGCGATAGCAAAGGTAATACCCCTATACCATTCAGCCTTAGCGTTCTATACGGCTATATATAAAGCTAATCTTTCTAGCAGAATACCACGATCTAAAGACTAGGTATCCAGCTTCTTCTATAACTCCCTCTTGCCGTCGAGTCTAATTACACTAATAAGCAGCCTATACTACCTCTATAAGAAGAGTTCGAAATTAGCTATCGAGGATAGTATATATTTATATCCTAGTATTATTCTAGTCACGTTTTTATATATACTAGGATTATAGAATAGGGTAATAGTATCATCGCCGTTAGCAGTAGGATCTATAGAACACAGATCTACGTTAATCCTCTAAAAAGGCCTTATTAGCCTATAGGTGGGTGGATATCGCAGTATTATTCTTTTTACCTTACTAATAGCGTAAGCCTCGTAGTCCACTACTAAAGGTGCCGTACCTCCTTTTAAAGCCACGATACCTCCTATATAGCCTTTTAATAACTACGCTAGTGCTTAAGAGTTAGCGTGCTCTAATCTCTCGTGCTATAAACGGGCGTCTACCACGCTTATAGGCTTTAGTTCTCTTGAGCTATTAAAATAGCTCTGCTATCACTGCTATAAGCGCTATAGCGTGCCCTCTATCAGTTTAAGGGTATATTAGCCGTTAATATTAGTTAACGGCAGGCAGGTATATCGGTCTATTACTAAGATATCTTTACCGGTTATAAAAACAGCGTTCTAATCCTTCTATAACCTACGTATCGCTAGCAGGGTAGTAGGGTATCCTTTAATAAGTACCACGTTCTTTAATATAAGGGTATAAGGACGACCTTTAGTATCTTTAACCTAAAGACGTAGCGTGCTATACCCCTTTACTGGATTACAGATGCCGCCACCTATCTGAAATCTAATAATAGTGGTAGCAGGGTAGAAGTCCTTAAGCAGGTGGCGTTAATTGGTTATATACCTTAGGAACCCTGAGTCGATTAAAAGCTAACTAAAAAGGTTACCGCTAACCACCTATTTAGTCTATAGAAGCGAGAATATCGATCGCGAGGTTAACGAAGATCTATTTAAAGAGGTAGTTAACGCCACCTTTTCTCCCACGAAATTAGAGGCAAAATATATATCGTAAGAGCTATTATCAGAATCCTCTTCCCTATTATTAACGAAATTACATACTTTCTTAGACTGATCTTTCTCTAGTAACTTAGCTTTAGACTCTTTTACCTTATTTTTCGCCTTATCGATATCCTTTTTAATATACTCCCTAAACCTTTTTTGCTTAGAAGCACTCTAGGTCTTAATAATGCGGTCGTAGCGTTCTACCACCTCCTTTATTAGCGTAAAGCCCTTTTAGCAGCGTGTCGGATTAACGTTCGGGTAGCTACTCCACGGAAAGTAGTAGCGTTTAGCGCTTCTTATCTTAATGTAATCGCAGATAAATTCCCTTACCGAAGAATCCTCCTTTTTCTATTACTGCTAACCTCCCTAATTAATAGGCTACTATCTACTATCTTTATCCTTTCCTAAGAACGTCGCCGTGTAAAACGATAACGCTATAGACTTCTTATTAAGCCTATAAGGATACCTATAGCGTGACTAAACCGTATATTCGTTTATAAACTCTTCGATAGTCGGTTAGTCTTCTTTATCTTCCGTTGAATCTTTATAAAATATACCTCTAACTACTCGAAAGCTATAATACTAATACCCCTAAAAACGCGTCGAGTTAATCCTCTTTAGTATTAGAAGATCTAACGCTATAGAGCTTCGAATCTCGGTATAGCGATATAAAGTCCTAAAGCTAACGCTCGTAGGGTATCCTCCATATATTTTATATATATTCTTCCTATCTCTTCTTAACTAGGGACTTCTAGGTAGCGTTAGTAGGTTTAAGATACTCTTTCAAGGCGATTAGGATATCTTTAACCTCCTTCTTCCCTGCGTACTAATCTTTAAGGTTAGGATTAACCGTCTTTGCGATATAACCGTGAAGAGTAGCTAGACCTTATTACTATTACTAATACTTATTCTCTTTTACCTGCTATAGCTTAAACTTACTATCCATATATCCTCATCCTCTTCTATTATTTTTAGAGGTTCCGAGGATTTAAGCTATTAAGAATATTTAGATTCCTCGAGGTCTGGATTAATAAGGTTAGAGACCCGGTTAGCGTAGGCTATCTATATAACAGCCTCGATCTAATAACGCTATTCTTTTAGTAAGGTAAGGATCGTATAGCCTATTATAGGTAATACCGTAGTTAAGGCTGTTGTCTAACTAACTAGGACTATAAGGAAATAAACTATCGAAACCGACTATAACGATTGACTAAATAAGGAGCGATTAAATAAGATAGAATAAGATAGGGCTTAAGCGAGTTAAGCAATTTAAATAGGAGGGGATTAAGCAATCTAATAACGAAATAACGGTTAAAATGAACTAGGCGGATATAGCCGATAATAATAAACTACCTGCTATAGACTTAAGGCTATTTTGAGTGCCTTAAAGCTACAGGATCTATCGGAATAGCTTCGTTTTATCAGAACGCCGGGCTTACAGCTATTAGTATATAAATAAGGTATATAAAAGATATATATATATATTAAAAAAGAGTAGTACTCTACGGAAATATTTAACTATAAGGTAAAAAGAGGGGAAATCGATATAGATATATCTGCCGGAAGTACTCTATCCGTGTACATAAATAGCGTAAGTCACACCCCGATAAGGTGGCTATAGGCATCTGACACTAACTATAGGGAAAAAGCAGGGGAAATAAGTGTGGATACATAGGAGCGAGGTACTCCACACGTCTGACACAATGTGGTTTGTCATACCTCGATAAGTGGCTGGTGGTATCTGACAATACCCATGCAAACTGGTTCCTTGTACCCTTCGTCCCCTCTTCTCCCTTTATCGTTTCCTACGGTACCTTACCTGCCTAGCTAGGTATACCGAGTAACCACGGTCCAGCACTCTATCATCATGGCACCAAAAGCGATCATAGCTCCCTCTATTCTCTCCGCCGACTTCGCCAGCCTCGGTCCCGAGTGTTGTCGTACTATCCAAAATGGCGCAGACTGGCTTCATGTCGACATCATGTACACAGGATAAAACCCACACCCTCCCCTCTACCCTTTATAGGAGGGGCTCCGGACAGCATGCGATTGAGCTGACACAAGAGCCCGCCACTTTCCTCTAGGGACGGTCACTTTGTGCCAAACCTCACATTTGGCCCGCCTGTCGTCGTCAAGATCCGCAGCCATGTCGTGAAGCCCACTGAGGACTACGGCAAGGGTACCTTCGACTGCCACATGATGATTGCGGAGCCCAAGAAATGGGTCAAGGAGTTTAAAAAGGCTGGCTGTGACCTCTACTGCTTTCACTACGAGGCTTCCATCGACTCTTCGGCCGCCGAGAGCCCGGAAGAAGTGACTGATCGTCGAAGCTCACCCCGTGAGCTCATCCAATATATCCACGAGCAGGGTATGTTAGCGGGTATCGCTCTCAAGCCCGCTACACCTGTTGATGTGCTTTGGGATATCCTCGCAAGCCCCGAGAAGCTAGAAAGGCCAGATGTAGGTCACCCATGTCCCCATTAGTATTATCTTCGCCAACTGCACTACTTTTCCTCTCCGGTCGATGCGCCCAGCCGCTCACATTTCTATTGTGCATCCGCGACAGATGGTCCTTATCATGACGGTCGAGCCCGGGTTTGGCGGTCAGAAGTTCATGGCGTCCGAATTGCCTAAAGTCCGGGCTCTACGGAGCAAGTATCCTGACCTGAACATCGAGGTCGATGGTGGACTGGGTCCGGGAACTATTGACCAGGCGGCCAACGCCGGCGCCAACGTAATCGTCGCCGGTAGCGCCGTATTTGGGGCGAAGGACCCCGCCGAAGTGATCAGCCTCCTTAGGAATTCCGTAAATAAATGCCTTGGTGGCCACTGAAGAAGGTTTCTATGCATGGAGGAGCTTTAAATTCCGTCTCGAAGAGCAGACAAGAAGTATGAAAATAAACCATTCATAGGATGGGTTTGCAAACAACTCCAGAGACGTACATTCGAGTTCCTACTCCAGGATATCGAAAAGTAGGCCGTCCAACTCTTCTAGCCCATCCACCATCGGTGAACACTGCCTTACCTGTAGCACAGACCTCCCCAAACGGGTGCGGAGGCGGAATAACCTAACGGCCGAAAACACGTTTAGGCACGGAAGTGGATATTGTTAATGTTACATGCCCTTAGCCACCTTATCGAGGTGTGATAAACTATATTGTGTTAGATGTGTGGAGTACCTTGATTCTATATATCTATAGTTATTTCCCCTATTTTTTTCCTATAGTTAGATATCCCTATAAAGTACTATAAACTTTACTTAGATAAATATATATATATATATATAAGTAAGAGCCGTTATTCCGACTATTGTAACCGGTTATTCCGATTATAGTTTGGTTATAGACTTATAAAGTTCCTTTTTCGGAATCCTATCTTCTATATATAAACATAACGTATATATAGTTATAACGATCGTATATAACAATAATATCGTTTTCAAGCTTTATATATACGAACTAATTTAACCCCTTTAGTTGATTAAAGGCAGTAGTAGGTATAATCTTATTAACTCGGATTAAGACCCGTTATTATATTTTATAATTAAATCTAACTAATTAAGGTTATATTATAGAATCTAGCTCCTTATCCACCTATTACTCGAATATCTAAACTACTACTACTATTACTATTAGTATTACTATTACTATTATAATTAACAGATTAGTTTATTATAATCTGATAAAGACGTAGTGGCACCAGATCGTTAAGATAAAGATCAGACAAAGAGGTTAGTCCAGCAAAACCACATTCATAACCAAAACATAACCAACACCGCTATAATCTTTAGCAAAAAAGCAAATCGGAAGTCACTATTCTGATTAGGGCAATAAAGGTTAAACTAGAAAGATACCTTAAACGTAGAATAAGCAAATATAAAAGAGGATAATTATTAAATAATCATCTCTTGATAGGGATATCCTAACCCTATCCTTAATATATATATAGATAGTAGATCTAGCGGCCTTAAAAGGGGGGTTATATAACCGTCTACTAAAACCACTCTAATACCGTATCTACACGGTTATAATACGGCCCTAGTTATCTCGTTTACGCCCTTGTAGCGTAGATAACTCCTAAAAATAAATAGATATAAGTAAGTAAACTAAGCAAAGAGCTATTATATACCCTTATTTCTCTAATCACCCCGTCCTCTACGTATACCTAGTTAGGGATCCTCTAAGTTCCTATTCCTCTATATATACTATTCCCTTACTATCTTTACTAGCTCTTTTCTTAAGACGGTATTTATCTAATCCTCTATATATATCTTTACTTACGCTTCTATGAAGTCCTTCCTCCGACTACGTAATCAGGCTCGCAAGCCTTCTTAGCCTCTTAATTAGCGATAGCCTTATTAGCTTTCTATTTAATCTCCGCGTTATAATAAAGCTATCCTTTCTAAGATATTACTTAAGGCGGCGGCAGATATGGCGCGCTATTAGCTACTATATCTTAGAGGCCTGCTTAGTATTGGTTATTAAAGGACTTAACCTATTCTTCCTTAGTATATAGGCTTAGGCTAATAGGACTAACGCGCTTAGCTAAACGCCGTATATCTACGAGTCTATAGTAGAGAAGGTAATAAGGTATCTTAGTGCCCTTAGCCTAATACTTAGCCTCCTCTTCCTATTTATCTTAGATATTATAACTCCTCTTCTTTAAAACGCTAAAGGGCTTAGACGACTTTAGAGTCTTAGGCGTCTTCGGCGTTTTAGGAAACAGCGCTTTCTTAACGGCTAAAGGCGTCTTCTTTGTGGCCTTACCCTTAGGTATCTAGAGCTCGAGACCACTAAACCTATATCTTCGATATCACTACTATTATTAGATAGCACTAAAGGGTCCTAGAAACTCTAACCCGGTGTACTAATACGGTCTATAATCTCGGGATTAAGGGAACCTATAAGGTTAATAGACTCCTCCTCGGCTTTAGGCGTTTTAAGTGTCTTGGGACTCTTAAGCGGGCTAACTAGTATCTATTTCTTAGTCTTATTAATAGCTTAGAATCTAATCGTCTTAGGGGCTTTAGGAGGCGGCGTCGTGGGCTTTATAGCTAGTTCTATAGAGTAACCGAAGCCGAAGAGTTTACTAATATAAATAACCTAGCCTTCTTTAATATACCGAGTATATTCTCCTATATTATTCCCGTGATAGCGGCCTTAAATAAATCTATAAATCTTAAAGCTCCAAGGGAATAAATATCCCTCTTAGACTAAAGCTTTAATCTATTCTATAATAAAAGGACCACGGAGTAACTATCCTATTATATAGGGTTAGGGACGATATAGAATGTTTTAGCTATGGTATTAACTACTTTTTTAGGGGCTCCAATAGATATTAACATTAGTATTATAAGGCGGGCGACCTCGAGGAGGCGTTATTTACCTTTACCGTTAGACTATATACTATCGTATCTATATATAATCTAAGTCTCCTAGTCGATAATTAGGCTAATAAAATAGTTACTATTAACGTGGTAGATTATAAGGATAAAGTGGCTAGTTTTAGTATATCGCCGCGCCTTATCGGTAAGAGTTATAAACTCCGGCTTACCTTTAGTATCCACTCCCTAGGTCGGGATTTTATTAAGGAATACTATAAGCCTTAAATCTCCTTACCTATAGCTAATCACCGCACTTACCACCGCTTTTATAGCGCCCTTCTCTTACCACTTATCGGCCTTAATATCTTTATATAATAGGTAAGCTAATATTAAGATAGAACGGACTTTAAGGTACCGCTCGCTATACGAGATTATTAAAGGGAACTATAATACAGCTAGTCCTATAATCTCCACGTCTAACCTATCGCTCTTATTATAACCGCGCAGATACGGTGTTAGTGTGGTGTCGGCAGCCGGTTATATAACCCCCTTTTTAAGACTAAGGGATCCGCCTCCTATATATATATTAAGGACAGGCTCTAGATATCCCTATCGAGGGACGATAATATTTAATTATTATCCTCTTTTATAATTACTTATTCCACGTTTAAGGTATCTTTTTAGTTTAACTTATATTACCCCAATCAGAATAATAACTACAGATCTACTTTTTCGGTAAAGGTTATAGCGGTATTAGTTATATTTTGGTTATGCATCGCGGTTTTACTAGACTAACCTCTTTATCTGATCTTTGTCTTAACGATCTAATACTACTACGTCTTTATCTAGTTATAATATAGTGCTCGGAGGCGGATTTATTCGGCGTCCCTAAAGTATTCTAAGCCTAATTAGAGTAACGGAGGCGCTCGAGGGAGGTTCCGGCCCTCCTAAACGGACTAACCGTTAATAACCCTTAAAGGATATAAAGATAATAACCGAGGAAGGATTTAACGCTTTAAGACCGAGGGGAGATTTACCCTAATAGATTTAGAAAAAGAAACGACTATATAGGTAAGATAGGAAGCACCTTTAGCAATTTTAATTATAAGACCAGCCGCCATGGAGGTAGTAATTATAGGAACGGAAGAAACCGATTAGATCGTGATAAAATCGGATTCCGGATATAGAATAGACTCGATAGGGGGCTTATAACCCCTATTACTAATTAAAATAAACTCTCGTATAATAGCGAAAAAAAGATAAGACCGCCGAGAGTAACTTACCCGGATTAGGGTAACTAACCCCTAATAAACCTAATAAAAAGCTAATACCGAGCGTAGGAGCGAAATAACGACCCTTATATAAGGACCCGATAGTCTAGTAAAGACCTTTACAGACCCCGTAAGTAAGTTATAATACTCCTTTATAAGACTTAGTGCGTAATATTACTAATATTAATATCCGTGAGTATAGCCCTTTTACTAATACATAATCTCCTAATCGTAGGGGGCCTTTTCCTTTAAGGTAAGTTAGAAAAGCTAGACCCCGAAGATAAATATCACGGAGCGAACTCTAGGACCGCTATTACCCTCTTATTAAAGACTTTATTACTCTTATTAAGATAAGATAATATATATACTAACCTAGCTAGTATCTAGAATACCTATAGGATCTTCTTATTAGACGATTAATTCGAAGAACCTTTCCCTAAACGCCTTAACCCTATTATTATTATTCGCTTACCCCCTTATACTTATACCTAAAATACTATAGATACTTAGACTTAGTACCGCGAGCCTAACCCTATTATCGTCGTTAGCGACTCCGATAATAAGGCTCCCTCGCCGGCTATTCCCCTTATTCTTACGCCCGCTACTTCTATTACTCCTAATTAGGGGAACCACGATATCGGGGCTATAGCCTTACCTCCGCCCGCTCCTAGGCCGACTACTATATTTACCGCGGCTCTAATAGCTATTTTAATAATTGCCCCTAATACTACCCCTACCTAGCCTATCTTTACTACTTAGCCTGCCCCTAAATATTAGCAGCGCCTTACTACCGCTAAAGGCCTAATTAAGCTACTATAAGCCCTAAAACGCTATAACCGAGAAACCACTATTACCGAGGTCGTTAAAGCCTTACCCCCTATTACTACTACGTTAAGAGTACCCCTAAATCCCCTCGCTACTAAAGGTCCCCGCTTTAATAGTAAATCCCTCTCTATATTGCTCTAGTAGTACGATAACTATACTAAGCTTAACCGCCTTAGTAAAGCCGATAAGATTACCTATATTAACTTATACACGGATATAGCTATTCGTCCTACCGTTAAACACCTAGTTAGAGAGGTTCAAGCCGCTAAAGGTAGTTAGTCTAATCCAGTTAAGAAGCTCGTTAAAAAGTACTCTTATCTAGATCCTAACTACTAACTTAACTTCTCTTATAAGGTTTATTAGCTTCGGGTAAAATATAAGACGTATAAAATTAATAGCGTTTATTAGGTTAAGGACTTACTATAGTAAAGTACTATCTAGAAGGCTAAGGTAGAGCGGGTTTCAAGCACTTTTATCGAGGACTCCGAGCTTTACGGTATCGTCCTTACTATTCTGTATAGGGATATCTATATATTTATCGCTAATAAGCTTAAGATCCGA